TTTTGGGGGGCTCAGGGGGGTTTGAGGGGACCCTTGAGGTGATTTGGGGGTGACTGGGTGGGTTTGAGGGTGCCCAGGGTGTTTTTGGGGTGATTTTGGGGTATTTTTGGGGTGCCCAGGCCGGTTTTGGGGGGGTTTTGGTGTGTTTTAGGGGTGTTTGGGATGATTTTGGGGTGTTTTGGGAGGATTTGGGGGTTTTTGGGGTGTTTTGGTGTGTTTTTGGGGTGATTTGGGGTGGTTTTTGGGGTGATTCTGGGGGTTTTTGGGGTGATTTTGAGGTGATTTTGGGGTTTTTTTGAGGTGATTTTGGATGGTTTTGGGGTGATTTTGGGGTAATTTTGTGGGTTTTGGGGGTGATTTTGGGATGTTTTGGGGTGTTCTGCGGTGATTTTGGGATGTTTTGGGGGTTTTGGTGGGGTTTTGGGGTGATTTTGGGGTTCCCAGGCTGGTTTTGGGGTGTTTTGGTGTGGTTTTGGGTGGTTTTGGGGCTTTTGGGGTGTTTTGAAGCTTTTGGGGTGATTTTGGGGCTTTTGGGGTGATTTTGGGGTGGTTTTGGGGGGTTTTGTGTGGTTTTGGGCGATTTTGGGGTGCTTTGGGGTGATTTTGGGGTGGTTTTGGGGTGTTTCGGGTGATTTTGAGGTGTTTTTGGGGTTTTTTGTGTGGTTTTGGGTGATTTTGGCGTAATTTTGGGATGCTTTGGGGTGATTTTGGGGTGGTTTTGGGGTGTTTCGGGTGATTTTGAGGTGTTTTTGGGTTTTTTTGTGTGGTTTTGGGTGATTTAGGGGTGTTTTTGGGGTGTTTGGGGTGATTTAGGGGTGTTTTGGGGGTGTTTGGGGTGATTTAGGGGTGTTTTTGGGGTGTTTTGGGTGATTTTGAGGTGGTTTTGGGTGTTTTTGGGGTGTTTTTGGGGTGTTTCGGGTGATTTTGAGGTGTTTTTGGGTGTTTTTGGGTGATTTTGGGGTGTTTTGGGGTGTTTTTGGGGTGTTTCGGGTGATTTTGAGGTGGTTTTGGGTGGTTTTGGGGTGTTTTTGGGGTGTTTCGGGTGATTTTGAGGTGGTTTTGGGTGGTTTTGGGGTGTTTTTGGGGTGTTTCGGGTGATTTTGAGGTGTTTTTGGGGTGTTTCGGGTGATTTTGAGGTGGTTTTGGCCGCAGGTGGCCGAGCTGGCGGCGCTGCCCCGCGACGTTTCCCGCTCCGTTTACACCCAGCGCATCCTGGAGATCGTCGGCAACATCCGCAAGCAGAAGGAGGAGATCGGCAAGGTTTGGGGGGGAGGAGGATTTTGGGGGGGCTCTGCGCACCCCCAAATTATCAGAGGGGGTTTTTTGGGGGGGAGGGGGTCGTGACCTCTCCCGGGGATCCCCCAACCCCAGATCCTGGAGGACACGCGGGCGCTGCAGAAGGAGATCAACGCCCTGGTGGGGAAGCTGGAGAGGACCTTCAGCGTCACCGACGAGCTGCTCTTCAAGGTGGGGGGCTGGGGGGGGCACCCCAAAAAAATAAAGCACCGGGGGGGGGGGGGGGGGGGGTCCGGCTGGGATTTTGGGGGGCACGGGCTGGGGGAGGGGGGAGTTCAGTGGTACGGCCCGGACGGGATGGCCCCGAAGGGGTGAGGGGGTGGGAGACCCCCAGAGTGTCACGGGTGCCCCCCAGAGTGTCACGGGTGCCCCCCAAATTGTCACGGGTGCCCCCAGATTGTCACGGGTGCCCCCCAAATTGTCATGTGTGCCCCCCAAATTGTCATGTGTGCCCCCCAAATTGTCATGTGTGCCCCCAAACTCTCCCTGCCCCCCAAACTCTCCCTGTGCCCCCCAGTGTCCCTGTACCCCC